AAATACAGCGCATTCAGATGTGTCGTATTGCTGATGTTACATGGGTTAATCCCTCATTTCCTGTTCTGCTGTTTCATCTAAGTACCAGGGTGTGAAAAAGAGAGGGCTACAAGCACTGCGAAAGCTTTTAAGTCAGAAAATTCCGCAAAATTTGCATGTTATCGTTCATTTTCGGACATGAATTTGTGCAGGTTGCTGCCGTTCCGAAAATATCATGGAATAAGTTTGTTTTTATGCATGTAACCATTCTGTGCGCACTGGAGAAAGGCTGCATCACCGTTCATTCCCATTACACAGCACCCCGTGGTAGCAGACCACAAAGGAACGGGAAAAAAGCGAAATCATGCAAAACAGATATGATTTTTTTCACCGCGAAGGGGTTGGAGCAGTGCAACGAGCGGCGCTTACGGGCGATGAGGACAGCGAAGGGGAGGCCGAATGAAGGGAGGGAGGGACGGAGAGAGACTCTGGAACAAAGGTTACGAGTTTTGATTGCCCTTCTGCTTTCAATGTAACATTTTGTAACAGGGGACCGAAAAAATAATTGTAAGCCAATTTTTGTCGACAGTAGTAAGGGAGCATAATGTGGTGCCGTTAGCAACCTATAAAATTTGTACCAGTCGTTCCTGCGAGTGGCACCGCGATACCACAGCGCTAACAGAATTGAAACAAGGCAAAAGAAGCAGTGAGGGTAAAGAAATATTTAAAACGTACAGTGGCATTTAAGTTCAAAAGTTCCTCTCGGGTAAGTTTGCAGTCTGTGTTTCAATACTTAGTTGCAAAAACAACAGAGCATCGCATGCGAGCAGGAATGGGGATTGTCAGTACAACCTCCTACTGCGCACTTTTATGAAGAATACCAAGACTGCTTAAGCATTAGTGTGGGTGTCCCATATAAGTGATCTTATCCTTATGGTAGATATGAATTCTGCAATTAAGCCCATCGCTTACAAAAAGCTATCTGAGTGGAGAAATTTTCAATGAACGTACGCCAGGAAAAAGGACGATGGGAAAGTTGATTTTATGTTTCTGGATCCGAGCATGGCCTGGCACCCTGCTCCCAAAATTTCCAATTTTTAACGTCGTAGTTGC